TAACTGATTTAAATAGGAGGTTCGTTCATACAAGTGTAAGGAGACAACCAGATGAGTGGATCATATAGAATTGTTTGAGGATATGATTAAAAATACGATACAAGTTCATGTCTATATACAAGTAATTATGTAATTTTGTAATGTGGATTTTGAAACAGTTATGGTAGTACATGTGTACATGGACCCATCAGATTTAAGCAATGTGCTGTAGATGCTGCCACTATTCAGAAAACTATTTACCAACTTCAGTTTATGCAACTGATAGAAAGTAACTATAATTCATTTCCTGCCTTGTGATTCCCTAAAATTAGGTGTATTGAAAACTAACTACAAATGTTTATTTTTTATTTTTGATTGCAGCTTGATTCCACACCGTATTTTTTGGTACAGGTGTGGAATTTTCAGCATGTGATACCGGTAGCCCAAATTTTGCATGCCGACCGTAGATATCAGGTGTGCGTCGGCAGGGGATCGAACCCCGGACCATGTGCGTGGTGGGAGAGAGTCCTAACCACCGACAATAAATTAAATTCTTAAATCAGTTGTTACACTAAAAAAACAGAAACAGATGGCTGACTGATACACTTAATATTTCAGAGCAGACAATACAACCTGGTGTTCCGAGGACTCTGATTGTAATTTTTTAGTAGTAAAAGTCCCGTGAATGGATTTCTTTAATTCTGGGAATGAGTGCCTCTATGAGCATGTTATTATTAAACTGTACTCTTTCTTATGTAAAGAGGTTTCCTTTTCCACAGTCTTAACACATTTTTCTATTTTTATGTTCTTTAGCTTTTCAATAAACTTCTTTAGATATGCTGGGTCTTCGGTTACATTTTTAGATCAAATAGCTCTCATTCTGTATGTCAGTGGCACAGCGGTAGAGTGCTCGCCGATCACGCAGGTGGTCGGGGGTTCGATCCCCGGCCACAGACACACTCCTTTACCCCGCTAAGCCAGTAATAAGACTGATAAAGAGGGAAGGATGAGAATGAGGCCAGCAACCCCATCCCATAAAAATAATCACCACTGCTACAGAAACTTCTAGCCTCTAGCTTGAAGCCCTATGTTCCACTGGGAGCGTAAAGGAAGAAAAAAAGCTCTCATTCTGTTGTGAAATATCGTGTATTAAATTCTTTCATTCTGGTGCAAGCTTAATAGGAACGAAAATGCTTTTTCTGTGTTAGGTTCATATACAGTTAAACTCAAAGCAACAAGTCTATCTCATCATATAACCTGGAGTTAAACATCCTATTATAAGTTCTGAATATCTTTCAAACAAATTGTTTTGCCTGACTTCCAAATAAAACTGAAAGGTATTGATTTCTCTTCCAATGGATTATAATGTAAGTGTGTTGCCACTCAATTACAGGGTTGAAATCTAACAGTTCAAGAGTTCTAGCTTCTGGTATTCCCCATTGTAAATCTAGCATTTAAATTCACATCCTTTGTGAAATAGTGAATGCATATTTGTTTAAAGTTCCCCAGTGCTCTATGATTCATGATGAAATGCTTGGGTTTGTCACTCTTTCTTGTAGAACAGTGTGAAAGATATTTTGCTCTCTTTGGCTGTGCGACGAAGTATTTGAAGTATATTTCATCTATTAAATGCAAAGCTAACCTTATCTGTCTTAGGTCTTTTCTACATTGAAATTCATAAAATGAGCTTAAAGACACTATGTTACATAAATAATTTACTTGCCTAGCTCTTATTCCTGTGTTAAAACTTCCATCTGCTATTTTTAAACAACTTATTTGAATTCAAAGGTGTTTTCTTCTTTTTTACCTTTCGGTCATTTTCAAAAGTTTTGTACTACTTACTTGAGTTGTATCGAAATTTACCGATGATTTACTTCTGTCCTTTTGTTGTTGAATATCAGATAAATAAAAATAAAAGTATGAGTATGCATGAATAATCTTTATTCAAAATGCTTATTAATCAAAATGTGTAGATCAAGCGTGAAATCAGGTCATCAAGCTGAGGGGCATGATATTTTTAAAATTTGAGATTAGGCATAATGAGTTAGTCAAAAGAAAGTCTCATGCGGAATTTCAAATCCTCGTAGAGGTGTACCGGCAATCCTGAGATGGCTTACGTCCTCTATTGAAATGAGCTACGTACCACTCATTCAGATGGAACTTAGATAAATCTACGCTGAAATCTATGGCACTGAATCATTGAGATTAAAAGTTTAGGAGGAATTTGAGTTTCTCTTACAAGAAAATTATCTCTTATAAGTGCTAACAAGCAAAAATTATACTCAAAGACGACTAATTCTTATAGTATACTACTGAACGTTTTGATTATGTTTAACGAAGCGTAAAAAAATAAACGCGTCAGTTAACAGATTAATATTCACCTATTTTATTCATAAAAATTGCATTAATGTACTTATTGATATTTTGTTTTTCTGCATATATATTAAATATGAATTTTCACAGATTATTGTCAGTAGAATAATAAGGATATTGATGTTAGATTAGTTGGAGTTAGTTGGCAAAAAGCTCTGGACCTAGGATTGTCAACAGGACGTATCGGCAAACCTTAAGGAATTAATGTCCACTCTGCGATTCGAAACCAGCTGGCCAAGTGCTACAGTCAGAGACTTTTCTACTAATCTGTTCAGGTTGATGATTGAACTCCTACAGAACTGTGGCGGATTCATTGACTGATCACGTGAAAGTAACCAGCATCATATGTCAAGTCCTTAATGATGGATATCATACTTCAATAAGAGGTTTCAATACAGGACACAAGGCTATTAAAAATCAGTTATTCCAGGGGTTTATATAAGACCTTTAACTGTCAGTCTGAACTATGTAGAGGAGCCTTTTACTGTACTTTTCGGGTTTCCGAAAAGGCCACTGATCTCAGACTTAATGATGTAACTGCAAAATTGACCAAACAATCCTCAACTTACAGAAGATAGAATAATCAACATGTCTTTGGAATTATTGTCTCAGATAATCTCACTCTGGAGAATCCCGACCAATAGCTGCTACCTTGACGTAGTGGTCCGGCCTGTACATCGCAATGACCAAACAGCTACACTGGCTGAAACTGTTGTTCCTGCAGGTCCTACCATGCCAGGAAGGTTGTTAGGATAAGGATTAAACTAAAGCAGTTACCGGCATAGTGTAAGAACTTTCTTACACTATGGTGGGAGTCTCTGGGTATAGTCGTACTGCTGGGGAACAGGGATGTAACTGCTGCAGTAAGGTCTTTCCCTCAGATGACCAGCATGTCAGCCAGTTATGCTGTCTCTCTAATCTGGAGAGAGGGGGTTAGAAAAGGTTGACCCAAACAATTCTACATCCTGGCTTACCCTACGGTGGTCCGTAACCGGCGGCAAGTTTACTAATACGGAACCAATCCAAGAAACCAATTCATACAGGCCATGTGTGACTGGCCAATAACAGTCTATCAATCCAGTTAGTGAATAAAATGTTACTAATGCATCAATGACGTACCAGTTAAGTGTAGTGAATTATTTACGATTAAGAAGTCTTCTGTTTCACCTACGGAACATTCCCTGACTAGGGACCACATTTTGCTAAGATTACCTCATATCCAAGTACCAGTACAATCACACAAAACACTGTTCACTACTAAAACATTCAGGCTTTTTTTAGAGTTTGATATAATTGTTTAAAACTTTAAACTTGGGGAATGTCGATATTATGTTAAGATAACCAAAAGTGGATTTACAGCATACACAAAAATCTTGTGACCTGTGTAGAAAATATGTATAATTAGCTATTTAGTAGTACAAGAAGCCAATACAAGCTTGTTCACTGTTGTAAAATTCAAAGTGAGATGTTGGATATATGCTCTTGTTTTACTGTGGTCAATTCATTCCAGGTCCCCACCTTTAGTAGGCTTACATTTCTGCTTACTACCTAAAAACAGTAATAAAAAGATGGGTCTCAACTGTAACTTCCACCAAAACTAATCATGTCCCAGCTGCTAAAGGAGGGGTCACATTGTATAGAAGACCGACAAAGCTTAGCAGTCAAATCAATCAGCTCAGTAAACACAATTAATTCAAGACCGATGTGTATAACACATACTGATGAAAGTTTAAAGGTATTCCAAGGATTCTCATATTTCACCTAGTGTAATCACTTAGTGTCATCATCGAATATAATAAACCACTGGGATCTCAAACAGAATTTTCAAAATATTCATAAGTTCTTATGAAACCAGTTTCTTTTTAAAGACATTGTCTTGAAAAAATAAGTATTGATGCCAAAATGTTCCCATTTTCTGTTTAAGCGTACTTATACTGGGTTCTCAATAGCTAGACAAGTATATTTTGAACTGTTTACAAGCATACACAGAAGTGCAGATGAATTTGCAATATATATATATACATATATATATAAATTAAACAGTGAGTAGTAAAATCAGGAAGTTCTAGATGCTTGTTTCATCTGTACTACACATCTTTTGATAGTTGTCGTACTGAGAAGTGGTTGAATTTAGAACCTTTAGCATAAGAGAAGTTGTGAATTCAACTTTCTATGATTTTGTGAACACATGGTTTGCAAAACTCTTAGCTCACATTAGATATAAATAGCTATAACTTTCTTTGTTGTAATTATTTTTATTTATAATTATTATTTAATACCTTTTTACATTCCGAGTGGAACATACGGCTTCAGACTAGAGCTTTGAAGTTTCCGTAGCAGTGATGTTTATTTTTACGAAGTAGGATTGTTAGCCTGACGTCTAACCTTCCCTCCTTACCGGCCATACGAACGGTTTAGTGATGTTTAGAAGTGCGTTGGTTGGGGGTCGAACTCCGGACCACGCACGTGATTGGCAAGCGTTCTACCCCACATCTTTGTTGCAATATTTGAAAAAAAAAGAAAAGAAATATCAATTTATTCATACACACACAACTCATATAAATGAATACGCGGTTAAATTGTTTCAGTCATTATCTGCTATTATTACTTATCGCATCTCAGTAATTCAATATATATACATAACCTACCTGATCAATTTGTTTAAGTTAGTCCGATAAAAATGTTGAGGGGAAAATAATTTTTACAAAAATTGAATTTAAATATTCGGGAATGTGTTCATTTATATGTATGAAAAGTATTTTGCTGTGATTTGTTTTTGTCACGAGTTAGGTTTTCAAATCATTTGGACATATATATATATATATATGATGTATATATATATATATATATATATATATATGTATAATGTCAAAGCAATTGGCGAATATTCATTCTGTGAATTTGTTTATGAGTACTTTGAAGAGAGATTGCTAGCCAGTTATCCCAGCTAAAAATATTGAGATGAATAAACACACATGCATATAGACAGACAGGGATAAAGGGACAAACAAACATACACAATGAAGTGCAGCTTTTGCGCCACTGATTTCTGTTTGGTGGGTGTGATCACTTATACACATAATTTGTGTCTGTGTGCGTGTGTATGTTTGTTTGTTGGATCTAAGTAAGGAGGGAAGATTACGTAAAGGATGATATACACAGTTCTAGCGATAATAAAGCTGAAAGAAATAAGAGAAAGGTTTTACAGAAAGGGGAATTTCAAAAATGATTTGTATGGGATCTGCCGATGGATTTATTTTGTTGGTATATATACATATGAACTTATTTCTATTCCTCTTCATCTCGATTAGGCATAGCCTATTTCCGTACAATACACACTTTGATGAGATGCAGGATAAATTGAATCTGTGTTATTGTGTTTCAGAATTGGTTTAATATGTGCATAGGAAAAACAGAATTATATTTATTACTTGAAGCTAATATAGATATACCAGCTGAGAAAGCCAGTAAATAATAAAAAAGACTATTTTGTTCGAATCCGAGAACCCTCAGTATCACTGATTAGTAACATTAAGGAGAATACAGACTGAGGCCATCAAATCTTGTGATAGGTAATTGACTACTCCATTTCTGTTCAGATTTCAGATTTGTAGAGATAAAGCGGCCGATGAGGCTGACCATATCGAGTGCAAAGCGTACGTTCAGCTAGGATATCGGTTGGTAGTGTGGCTACTTTGCAGAATGAAATAAGTTAGAATTTGTCGTCACTGAATTCCCGGCCGGTGACATTATGATGGACGTACTCATTTTATAACCTAAAAGTGCAGAGTTAAATCTCTTGTGTGACCATGAGTTAATACTACTGAAGATCACCAGACTAGGAAGAAATACCCGTTCTTTGCTCCTTAGCTTTCATTGATTTCTTAATATATGTCGATTTTGTACAAAATCTACATTTAACTACTGCATTGAATATCAGTAGTCTGAATTTGTGAACATCTAGTATGTAGAAAATTTCTAATTAAACTTCAAAATACCTCTTTAAAAGCAGCTGAATGGGCATTTTAAATCGAATTTGAAACATACAATTAATTTACTCCACGATATTTTGACTTCAAGATACGTTTTACCTGATAAAATATACAAGATAGTTGAAGAGTAAAATGTTATTTCATTAAGGTTGACAGATGGTTTTCCCGAGTTTTCCACCATTCTTATAGCAATAGTATAGAGAGAAAAATCTCTTGAGAAACTTTACTTTTTGTAAACTTTTTGGTAAAACACTCAGTGAAAAGTGAAGTAGACTAAACTATTATTATTATTATGGTTTTTTAATGACGATGAGTTATCACTTGGCAGCGAACGAATAGAAAATGGAATAAAATTGATAAATCATTGAAAAGCAGGTGTTATGTTTTCAATACATTCTTCATTGGCTGATAGTTACAGGTTAATAAGCTTTTTTGTCTTCTTGAATGAATGAAGTTAGTCATGGAGAGATTATCCCCTTCTCGGTACTCTGATTGTCACTCACAGGACCTAATGGTACTCTAAAGACTGCAGCGTAGATTACCTAGGTTACTATTGTTAGATATTACTACTAAATTGTTTTCAAATGGATATTCAGCGGATGAGACAAATTAAATAAAGTGTCGTTTATAAATCTTGATGATTCCCAATAATGGTTACCCACATCTTTCAGACAGCGTAGATTTAGAAAATCAAAACAAGTGATTCAGATAAGAGACTTTTTTCAACGAATTCATATACATATATATATATATTGTTTTTAAGAAATTATATCCAGTGAGGCTGCCTGCTTGAATCACTGGGCTATCGAAATTGCTTTCCACCAAAATGCCTAATTTCACTTGGATTTATCATTGTTTTAATTGTCCAGTTATATCAAATGAACTATACATGAACTTGAGCGCTAATTTAACTTGCTTCCAAAGAAACCCTGTGCATTTTTTCAATGCAATGAAGACAAACTTCAGATTATTATTTTACATATAAACCTTGTATGAAGAAAAAAGTATTTTGAAACCAGATACGTTGAAAATGTTTCTACCATATATTCGCATATTGTGTGAAATAAAGCTTTATTAGTATTACTATGAATGTGAATGCATAAAATAATAGGATGAAATGCAATTAAAGTTAAAAGAACACTATCCTGCATGGTTAAGCAGAGATGGAAGTGGAGCAATAAGAAACGCGATCATTGAACATCTGGTCGATAATGATCACCCCATCTCTACAGCCTTAGTCTTTAAAGTCATCTACAAGGCGAAAAGTAACTTGTCTAATTCACTTTGTACTGCACTCATTTGTACTGCTGAAGCTGTCGCCATCGAAACAGAAAAAACAGATCTCTGTATACAGAAAAAGTTCGTTCAATCCCTCCAACTTTCATGGCCTTCATCGCTTTATGCTAAAGTATGATAATCCCCAATCATATTTTTGCTCTACCATTTTTTTCGTTTTGTTTATTTAGTTTGTATACTGTTCCCGGTATTATTTCACTCGTTCCACTTATCATTCTAAATCAATTTTGTTTTGCAACGTTAAATTCTACTTTATCAAATTTCACACAATGTTAAGTAACTTTTTTAATTTTATTCTATTTACCTACTAATCCTATAATTGCACCCGTCCTCTTCCAAGTTCTATACATCCCATGAATTATTCTATATATGATATTAATTGTTTTGCCACTTGACATGCAACTGTGATTATAATCACAAATATTTAAATTGCATTTCATACTATTATTATTTTATGCATTCACACTTACGATTCAATTCTCTCACCGGACTTAATTTCTTAAATATATATATATATATATCATTGTACAGCTTGATAATAAATTAGTTGAAAAGAGTCTCTTCACTGAATCACTTCTTTTCTATATGTCCTAATGGAAATTTCCCATTAATTAAAAAATAGCAAAGTGTAAATTTACATGGTGATGACAAATGGAAGTACAATATGTATTTCGGTACTTAGGTAGCATTGGATGAAAAAAAAACCTGAAAAAAGACATCCAGTTGGTGAGTGTGACTCACGAAGTAACCGGCATCACTTTATTTTACGACAGTCAGGACGCTAAACAAATTAATGATACATCGAAGAGATGTTTAGATTAAAGATAAACTTAAAAACCAATATAGTGTGTGTGTTTTGTATTCAAAATAAGTTTATTACGTATTCTTTTACAATAAGACTGCGTCAGCGGTTCAGCACTAGACTGCCCACCAACTACGAACGTGGTCTGGGTTTTGATCCCCGGCTGGAGGTAAAGCCGGTAGAGAAGGATTGTTGCGCGTGAGGCTAGCAACCTAACTCCATAAAATTAAAACTTGACAGCTCTAGCTTGAAGCCCTATGTTCCAATCAGAATAAAGCATTTTTTAAAATAATACAGTTTCGGTTTTCACTGCTGTTTTCATAATGGTATGAACAAGGGAACGAAGAAAACTACACACGGACAAACCGCCAAAATATATGACTCTTACGGTTAGTCTACGGCTGAAAATATATTTCTGTGTAAGAAATATCTATCATAAAGCTAATCAACAGATCTCCCGGCAATGTTATCTATTTAGTGTTGCTTAGTACTGAAATACACGATGTGAGTTTCGTCATGTGTTACTTGTCAGCTGAACACACCTGCAACTTAGGTAATAATGGGGTCTAAGTTAAAAATTAACCCAGTATCCAAAGTTACAGATATGAAAGAGTCATCCATTGGACTATAAAGCCATAAAAGCTATCTGTTGTACAAAAGGTAAACCGTTATTCATTTTAATAGTAAACTCCTGTTGTTGATTTATGTGCACTAAATTGACTGGTAAGTATTTCACAGTGGCCTCAGTAAATGTTTGCTCTAAAATTGCATTCGACTGAGTTTTAGAGGAAGCACTGGCCCAGTCAGAAGCGCCATAGCTGAACACCTTGCCAACATCTCAACTGACTCGTCATCCAAAGTTTTATACAGAGTATGTTCTGCAATATTCCTTTTTCAAATGTGTCAAAAAGGCGGTGATATGTGTTCAAAAGAAACTAGTCCATCCTCTACATTTACCATGGATCTAGTTCTTTTTGATTCCTTAGTTTCCGTCCTTTTGTTTTTCCATTCCCTTCCTTTTTCATTTCATTTAAAAAACCTGTTATTTCACTTTGTTTCTAATTTCATCCCTTTCATACCTCTATTCATTAAGAAGTTTGTTTCACTTTTAAAGCAGCTACTTTATAATCCTGTGTAATATTGTTATTAAACCCCATGTAATCTATATTCATGCCTTCAAACTTTCATATCAAGTTGAAACCTAGTATCACCTTTAATCTTTTTCGTTATTATGTGGAATTAAATAGTGATTAAATCTATGTAAACTTACGAATACAAACACATTTTTGAACAACTTTTGAGAATGAAATGGCTGAAAAGATATCTCCCCTGAACTTCTTGTTCTTTTCCCTCAAATTATAAATTTTTCACATAGTTTTTGGTAGTAGTCATATTGTCTGCACATAAAGAAATGACCTATCATTTAGACTCAGCATGGAATAGATCTATGGCTCATGAACATGTACATTCATCTCAACTTGTACTAGAAGTTCGATTTCCTGTGTTAAACTGTTTCGTTGGTCTGAGATGGTTGGAGGCAATAGGCAGGAAGCCTTGGACCTAGGTTCCACGAACCTGAATAGCTCAGTGCTTACGTCCCTGACTGCAGAATTGGGTGAACCGAGTTTGAATTTCATAAGGGACATGAGTTCCTTCAAGTTTGCGAATACGCCTTGCTGACAAGGGCCAACAAGTATGCAGCTTGGGTCTAAGGCTTCA